GCTTTTCAGGGGCAGTTAATCGCATGGGAGTAGATTATCCAACCTTCTGCCAAGGAGCAGCTGGTGGCCTCTAACTGCATGCCGTTGGGATTGTAGCGCAATTCTTGCCACTAGGCCACCAGAGCTCCCTGCTGTTTCTCTGAGACCATTCTTAAATTCTAATCCAAAAGTGTCCCCTGATATCTTTTCCAAATCAAAACATGGTGCTGTGCTGATTGTTGCTGGTGAGTTGGCTGCAATTCAGTACAACTCTTTGTACTACAGAAGGAAGCTCTGCCTGGCCACCTGCCTCTCACAGCACTGCAGTGCTCGGGCCCGTAATCTGCAGTCACTATGCCAATTCATTGCACTGAAGGGTTTCCTCTTCTCATTGACCTTCTTTTTTACTAAGCCTATATCTTTCTCAAGGGATTGGACCTGCCTGTAAATGTGCCTAAAGTATGTTAGACAAAGTTTCCCTTCAGTGAAGACTGTCTGCCTGGAACAGTATGCTTTTATAAATATGGGATCAAAGTGACAAGGTAAACTGATTAAACAGGAACGTCAGGGGGCAGTGAGCTTAAGTTACTGTGGGAAGAACTCAGGAAAGGAGGATGAGAATAGTTGCACAACTTGAAGAGCATATTCTCACTGAATTGTACACAGACACTGTTGAATTGCTATATGGCTTGTTGTGGATATTCTTAACAAAAGCAAAAAAATAAGTTCTTTTTCTTAAAAAAGAATGTAAATATTTAGTAATTTCCAATTTTCACTTATGTTCATGTGACACACACAAGGTACATGTAGGCATATATATATATATGTATGTATATATATATACATACATACATATATATACATACATATATATATACATACATATATATATACATACATATATACATATTAAGGTTTTTACCTTCCTGCATCAGATTTCTCGCCAGGTGTGTATCAGAGGCAAATTTTGTTTGAATTTAAATGCTGGTTTTGTGGTTTCTACCTGCAACTTCTTCTTATTTAACCCATATCATGTGGATCAGCTGACATCTTATTTAACCATTATCATGTGGATCACAACAAACTACGGCTAACATTGAGGAGAATGGGAATCCCAGAGCACTTAATTGTGCTCATATGAAATCTATGCCCTGATCAAGAAGCCATTGTCTGAACAGAATAAGGGAACACTGTATGGTTTAAAATCAGGAAGGGTGTGAATCAGGGGTGTATCTTTTCTCCATATCTATTCAATGTGTATGCTGAGATAATGATTTGTGAAACCAGATACTATGAAGAAGAATGCGGCATCAGCATCAGAGGAAGGCTCATCAACAGGCTAAATTATGATGAAGACACAATCTTGGTTGCTGAAAGTGAGGAGGATCTAAAGTACTTGTTGCAGAAGATCAAAGACTACAGCCTTCAATATGGATTACAATTCAACATCAAGAAAGCAAAGGTCCTGACCACTGGGCCAATAGGCAAAATCATGATAAATGGAAATTGTTAATGATTTCATCTTACTTGGATCCACCTTAACACCCTGAGACGTGTTGCTATTGGCAAGGCCTCTGATAGGGACCTCTCCAAAATACTGAAGCACAGTGATGTCGGTTTGAAGACTAAGGTGTGTGTGATTCAGGCCGTGGTCTTTTCAATCACTATGTTATGCATCTGGGAGCTGGACAATGAATAAAGTTGACAGAAGAAGAATTGATGCCTTTGAGCTGTGGCATTGGAGAAGAGTACTGCATATCCCATGGACTGGCAAAAACAACTCAAAAGATAAGGCTTGGAGAAAGCTCAGTCAGAGTGCAGGCAAAGGTGATAGACTTATCTCAAGTATTTTGGACATCTTGCTAGAAGAAGCTATTCCTTGGAAAGGGGTATCATGCTTGTAAACGTCATTTAAAGAGAGGAAGATTCTCAATGAGATAATTGACACAATGACTGCAGCAATAGGTTCAAGGGTGCCCGAGATGAGAATGGCATGGGATAGGACAGAGATCTGCTATTCAAAGGATCACCATGAATTACACTCAACAACTCCTAACAACAACAACAAAGAAAGCATAAGGTCATTAAAAAAGATAGGAAAGAAAGAAAAGACAAAGATGTCAGAAGAGATTCTGAAATGTGATCTTGAACATTTAAAAAAAATATTTAGAGAACATTTAGAGACACTAAAGCAAGAGGACCAAATGAAATAAGCTGAACAATCCATTGCAAAGGGCAGTTTGAGAACAGAAAGCCAAGTATTAAAATGAAATTTGGCAGTTTTCTAGCTAGCTGACTGGAAAAGATCCATAATTTTTCTAATTCCAAAATAAGGTGATCCAAACAGAACGTGGGAATTATTGAATGATATATTTAATATCACATACATTTGAAATCTTGCTGCTGATTTTTTTTTAAATTACTAGAGCAATACAGCCACAGGGAAATGCCAGACATTCATGCTACTAATAACTTTGCTACTAATTGAAAGTTCAGGGGTCACAATCCATCCAGGGGGACCTCTGAATAAAGGCCTGGCTGTCTATTTCTGGAAAAATCAGCTATAGAAAACTCTATGAAAGAGAATTCTACTCTGGCACACTCAAGTTCACTATGAGTTGGAATCAACTTGATGGAAGTGGTTTTAATGACATGTAGCAGGAATGGCATCCACTTCCTAAACAATCTGCCTCTGGAAACTCTATGAACTTTGACAGTGTTGATAGTTATGGAAAGGCTTCAGGTCATTTTGTTCATAGGGTCGCTATGAGTTGTGCTTAACTTGACAACAATCAACAACAACAACAATATAAAAATATGGCTTGTTGCACAGTAACTATATATAAATGTATTATGTATAAAGCTGGAGCCCTGGTGGCATGTTTGGCTACTAATATGTTGGCAATTCTAAACTACCAGCACAAAATGTGGCACTCTGCTTCCATAAAGGTTCAACTTTAAGGAATCCCATGAGGCGGTTCTGCACTGTCCTACAATCTCTAAGTCGACAGGCAACGAACAACAAGCATAGAAGTTCAGCACCAAGTAATGTAGAAGATGAAATAATAAGAGTTAAATCATTTTAACTCTAACTCACTTATTGCCGTAGAGTTGGAACTGACTCAGCCAATTTTCCTCCGGTGGTTTTCAGAGGCTGTAAATCCCATGGGAAGAGCTTCCCTAGCTTTTTCACAGACTGGTGAAGTCAAATTACCATAAGAAAGTGACCTTTGCATTACTATCACAGCTACCAGTGGATGATTTCACTAATCTGAATTTTAACTAGCTGCTTTACTGAAGGTAAACGTCAGACATTTTTTTGTTTGTTTTTTAAATACTTTCTATGCATCTGAAAGTTGGATAATGACTAAGAATGATGGAAGAATTGATGCCTTTAAATTGTGATGTTGGAGAAGGGTAATGAATATCCCATGGACTGCCAGAAAGGACAAACAAATCTGCCTTTGGACGAAGTGCAACCACAGTGCTCCTTAGAGGCAAGGATGGTGAACTGTAGGTTCACATCCTTTGGACTTGTCAGTAGGGGCCAATCATTGGAAAAGGACATCATGCTTGGAAAAGTGAAGGCTTAGGGAAAGAGAGGAAGCCCTTGAACATGACTGACTGACATAGTGATTACTGCAATAGACTTGAGCATGCGGGGAGATCTTGAAGATGGTTCAGATCTGTGTGTCAGGGTCCTTATGAGTCTAGTCGACTCGGCGGTACCTAACAACAGCAACAACAACATATACTAGGGACAAGATTCCTTGTATCATATATAAGCTAATTATGCCAGAATCTTGTAGGTGTGCTGTTGATGTTGCTAGGTGGCATCGAGTTGTAGACGACTCCTAGCGACCTTATGAATGAAAAGCCTGAGCACTGTTCATAGCGTTTCTGGAGGCAAGCCATTTCGGAAGTGGATGCCACTCCTGCTTCCGGGATTGTTTTACTCGGGAAGCTCCAGCCAACACTGTCCACCATGGGTAACCATTATCACATTTGACACATCAATGACGCAATGTTCAGCATCGCAGCAACCATGAGTTACCTCTGTACAGCATGCACAGACCAGTGCTACTGTCCTGTGCCAATAGCACTGTCTCCGATACACCAATTCTGATTACCCCAGTCACTGAATCAATCCACCTCATAGATGGCCTTCCCCTCTTGCGCTGTCCCTTCACCCTCCCAAGCACGACGTCCCTCTCCAAAGACCGGTCCCTCCTTACAACATGACCAAAGTATGTCAGACGAAGCCTCAGAATCCTTGCCTCCAAGGAGCAGCCGGGTTTAACCCTCTCCAGGATGAACCTGTTTGTTTTCTTAGCAGTCCATGGCACACTCAATACTCTTTTCCAGCACTACAGCTCAAAGGCGTCAATTCTCCTTCTGTCCTCCCTAGTCATTGTCCAACTCTCTGACGCATAACAAGTGATTGCAAAGACCATGGCCTGTATCAGACGCACCTCAGTCTCCAGAGAGACACCATTGCTCTTGAGTACATTGTAGAGGTCCCTAACAGCAGACTTTCCCATCGCGGTACGCCTTTTAATTTCCTGGCTACTGGTGTCAAGAATGTTGACTGTGAAGACAAGGAAACTAAAGCTGGGAACAATTTCAATCTCTTCACCATTCATCCTGATGCTGCCAATTGGCCCAGTGGTGAGAATCTTTGTCTTCTTGACATTGAGCCTCAGTCCATATTGAAGGCTGCGGTCCTTGACCCTCTACAGCAAGTGCTTCAGGTCCTCCTCAGTTTCAGCAGAGGGTTGTGTCATCTGCATAACGCAGATTGTTGTTGTAGGATCCTTAAATCCCTTTATCTACAAATGTCAATTTCCAAAGTCGGCCAGACTTCAACCCTGACCCCTCCCACTGGGGGCGTGTCTTTCCCACTGCAGCTCCCCTTGCGCTGGTTGGACCGTCAAACCAATAAGGTTACTGGTGCGCAGGCGCAGCCCTCTCCGCGCAGGCGCAGTCCGGCCCCGCTGAAGCTGTTACCTCCACTGGGCTGAGGTTGCTTCCCGGGATCTGGGGTGACGCGGACGCTATGGCCGAGAGCAGCGGGGAAGTGGTCGCCCTGTCCTCATCCGGGGCTGGCACCAACCTCAACAATGGGGCCGGCGGGACCTCGGTGCAGAGCAACAATCCGCTGTCACGGAAGCTGCACAAGATTCTGGAGACTAGGCTGGACAATGACAAGGTAAATGAGGTCGGAAGGATCTTGGGGTCCTGGATCTCCGTGAGGCTGGTGGGGGCGGGGTCTGGGTCAGAATCTCTCCGGGAGTGGGGTTTGCCCTTCTTGGCACCTCTGATGGAGGGGCTGGGGCGATCCCCAGGACCCACCTGAGAGACCATTCCCGGATCCTAAAGGTGCACCCCGACTCTAGAGGTGCCACATCCGATCGGGAGAGGTACCCCCGATCCAGGAGGTCGCCGCCCTCCATCCCTGGTTCTGGGAATCCGGGTGTGTAGAAGGACAGACCCAGGAGCACCTGGAAGACTCACTGGGCTGAGAGCCCAGGAGGGCAAATGGAGAAATGGGACCACCAAAGAGGCAGGGTGCTGTGGTGGGTCAGAGACACCGAGGGGAGTGGCAGCTGAGCGGGTCGAGAGACTGGTGAAATATCTAAGATCGTCCGCACTGATGCAGAACTTCCTGCTCGAGACTTAAAAGGACTCTTATTTGTTGTTAGGTCTGCGTTATGTTTTGTGGGTGTGGACGCTTCTGTGGCTTAACAAGGTGAAATGCTCACATACAAGTATTCCCTAGAACTTAGGGAGTTTAGGACTTTCCTTCTTGAGTGAGTCCTTTTTTCATGGCATTGAGTCTAAAAAATGAAGATCATTTTACTTGTAACAAAAGGGGGGGGAAGGCAATGTGAGAGGTTTGTAGATAAACTAGAGAATTTTTACACAGTATGTATAAAAACCAGTGTGATAATGCAGTGAATAAAAAAGGTGGACGAGGTGACACCGCTCCTTGCACAACTCAATTGGTGCATTATGATTTGAGCAAGCTTTTAAGGAGGCCTGGGGGTGTTATGTGTTATATATTGGACTGAAAAAGACAGAAAGACCCCCAACCAGCTGGATTGACACAGTGATTGCTGCAGTGGGTTCAAGTGTGAAGAGGGTGGCACGGGATAGGACATGGTTCAGATCTATGGTTTATAGTGTCACTGTGAGTCAAACTTGAATTGACAGCTCCAAACAACAATAACATCATGACCTTAACTTGAGAGATTGAAATGGTGTGGATGTCAGGTTTAAAAGAATCGAGGTCTGACAGAAAAACTACTAAAATGAAAATCAAGAAAGGTGTGTGTCACGACTGTTTCCTTTCTCTGTACATATTCAGTCTGTTGAGCAGATAGTTCAAGATGCTGGATTTTATAAAAAAGAATGTATCAGAATTGGAGGAATACTCATCAACAAACTGTGTTATGATAAAAACCTTGCTTCCTGAAAATGAGAACTGAAGCACTTGCTGCAGATAATAAAAGATGACAGCCTTCAGTATGGATTACATTGCAACATGAAGAAAACAGAAATCACCACGTAGTCAATAGGCAACATCATGATAGATGCAGAAAAGATTGAAATTGTCAACAACTTCATCTTCCTTCCACAGGTATCAAGTCAGCACCCTTGGTATCAGCAGTCAAGAAGTTAAAAGACGTATTGTATCAAAAGACATTCCATAGTACTAAGGAGCAAAGATGTCAGTTTAAAGACTAAGGAACACTTGATTCAGGCCATGGTCTTTTCAGTCACTTTCTGTGCAGCTAAGAGCTGGACATTGAATAAGGATGAACAGAGAAGAATCAATGCCTTTAAGTTGTGGTATTGGAGAAGAGCACTGAGTACTGGGTTACCATGGACTACTAAAAGAACAAACAGCTATGTCTTAGAGAAGGTACAACCACAGTGCTCCTCACAGTCAAGGAGGGCAAAGCTTTGTCTCACATGCTTTGGGCTTGTTGTTAGAAAGGGTCATTCCACCTACAACCAGGAGAAGATAACGTAGATGAATGGAATCTTCTAAGACTCAAATCCCTATGCACATCCAAAAACTTCTCCAATAGGGTAAAAAGGGAAGCCACTGACTGGGGAAAAGTATTCGGTATTAACATATCAGATAAGGGACTTATATCCAGAATTTATGAAATACTTGAGCACCACAACAAGATAAAGGTAAATAATCCAATAGAAAAATGGGCACAGGATATGAACAGGCACTTCACCGAAGACGACATTCAGATGGCTAACAAGCACATGAAGAAATGCTCAAAATCCCTAGCCTTAAGAGAGATACAAATTAAAACAACTATGAGATATCATCTCACCCCAGTCAAAATAGCAAAATTTAATAGAACAGCAAGCAACAAATGCTGGCGAGGTTGTGGAGAAACTGGAACCCTGATTCACTGTTGGTGGGAGTGTAAAATGGTGCAACCCCTGTGGAAAGCAGTATGGCGCTTTCTCAAAAAGTTGTGAATAGAGATACCATTTGACCCAGGAATTCCACTACTGGGAATATACCCTGAAGAGACCATAGCTGACATCCAAGCAGATATATGCACACCCATGTTTATTGCAGCTTTGTTCACAATAGCAAGGAGTTGGAAACAACCTAAGTGCCCATCAACAAATGAATGGCTAGAGAAGCTGTGGTATATTCGCACAATGGAATACTATGCTGCATTGAAAAACAAGGAACTCATGCAATATTATTCAAAATGGTTGACTCTGGAGAACATTATGCTGAATGAAATATCCCAGTCACAAAAGGACAAATATTACATGATGTCACTGTTGTAGAATGGGACTAACCTCGGGGTTGGAGAGAGACTGAGTAAGATGGGTTCAATAATGTATACTGCACTGAAACAGAGGAGGGAGTAAACTGTTTAAAAGAGATATGTGACTAGGTATTTCTGTCATCACAGGAGTCTAGAGCGATGGCTACATGGTGGAGGGGACCTGGGGGAGGGTTTGTAAAACAATGAAAGAATCTTTTCTTTTGCTTTTCCATAATTTTTGACTCATGTACTTATAACTTGTTAGTTAAATTTGTGTCTTCTAGGTTGCAACACCCCCATGATACATCTTCAAGGATATGAACATGTACAGCTAAGCACAATTAATAATAGTGCATCTAAATTCCAAAATCAATCTCCATAATAGTCTATGTGTTTCCTACTGCCAAAGGGGCCCTTTAGAGTAGTGAGAGAAGATCTTCACCCTGAAACCCACAGCGTCCCTTTTCAGCAGGAAGTAGCTAAGAGAATACACCATCCCCTTTTCCTTATGAATCAGGGTGAAGTCTCTCTCAGGGAGGAGTTATAGGGAATGGCAAAGGACACACTGACAATGGAGATTAATCAGAACTGACTTTGACAAGCACTGTGACAATTGGACAATTAAAACAGACATTCGGATGGCGGGGGAAGAAGAACAAACTGGGGAGGAGGGTAGAGAGAGTGGTGTAGCAATGAAGGAATGAAAACCCAAAATCCCTGTAAATGTTCATTAAAACTAATAAAATTTAATAATAATAAAAAGAAAGGGTCATTCCTTAGACAGGAACATCTGGCTTGGAAAGTTGGAGGGCCAGTGAAAAAGAGTAAGACCCTCAACCAGATGGATTGACACAGTGACTGCAGCAACCGGCTTAAGTGTGTTAGAGATTATGGGAAGCCCATACTAAATATTTGTAATAAACTGAATGCTATTTCAGGATGGAGATCACCCTGAGGCCCCTAGGCAATCCTTAAGGGTTTAGCAGATTCTTGTATTTGCTGACCCCTCCCTCCTGAGTCCAGGGGAAGGTTTTCAGTAGAAAGAGTTTGGCTTCATTTGCATGAACTTCTCTTTGTGATTTACTTCCTGATAATTTTCAATAAAGATTCAGGGAAGCTGGAAGGGGTCTTCAGTTAAGAACTGCTGGCACCCTGTTTTTCATGCTCTCTGCTCTATCTCATTCCTGGCTGGCTGTCTCATTAGTAATTATTATAAGAATACTTGACCCCCGGTCTGCAACAAGAGATGATGAGGATGGCACAGGATAGGACAGGCTTTGTACATAGAGTCACTATGAATCATACTCAACTTGACAGCACCTAAGAACAGTGGCCTGTTGACTGAAGTGCTCACTTGCTAGCTTAACACGTTGCCGCACACTTTTAAATTGATGACTGTGCTTAGAAACACATTTTGCTGTCGTAGTAGTTTGACCTCTTCAGCTGCTTGGTAAGGGAGAGAAAGGCAAACAGCTTTGGTAAAGATGTACAGCTGTGGTACCTGTATGGCAGAGTCCTGTCTTACAGAATCACCCTGAGCTGTAATCAACTTGATAAGCAGTAGGATTGGGTAGCTTTTTTAAAGAGACTATAATTTATTTGTATGATTTCAGTCTTTCCCCCTATAGAGCCGCTGAAGAATTCAAACTGCCAAATCAGCCATTCACTTCCAAGTTGATTTTCAGACCATTTCCAGTATTTTGTAATTTATAGCATTTCCCTAGTGCAAAACCTTGTATATATGCCATTTTGCTCAAGTAATTGCATTCTATTGTGTTCTGTAAGTGAAAACTAACGTTAAATGATGTGAAGGTTGCCCAGTATTTTCTCTATTGCTTAATGGAAACACGATCTGAAAATTATTTTGTTTGGTTTGGGATTAAAAGAACATTTGAAAATTGGTCTCAACCCCGTTCTAAATGTAAAACCATTTCTCCTCATTGTTTAGGAGATGTTGGAAGCTCTTAAGGCCCTTTCCAGCTTTTTTGTGGAAAACAGTTTGCGAACACGAAGGAATTTACGTGGAGATATTGAACTCCGAAGTCTGGCCATCAATGAACAGTTTGTAAGCATTTTCAAAGAAGTGAAGGAGGTATGTTCATTCTTTTCATTTCATGTTTATCAAGACTTTACTCTGCTGAGCATAGTTGTGTTATTTTTGTGACGTATTTGCTGTTCCTGTACTGTGTTCTAACAGCAAATTGGACTCCTTATTGCTGCGTTAAGTAAATGTGATTTAACTCCGTGGCCTACACTCACATTGGTTCTTAGGAATCACAGTGTTTGTTGTAGGCTTTTCTCTTAGGAATTTTAGCTTTTCAAATTAATATGTTATCATGGAATGATTTTCCAGTAAAAATGCCTCGATCGAATAGACTTCCCTTGGATAGCAACTTCTTAATTAGAGATTAATTAAGATTCATTTATTTTTTGCAGCCTAAATCATGACATTTTCAGATTAATTAGAAGTAGTCACTCTAATGCATAAAGGATGAGCCATGATGCTTGAGCTGGAATTCAGATCCCCCCAAGATAAACATGTTTCAGAGTTTGAATTTTGTATGAGATACATGGAAGTTTGTATACCTTCACTGACTACAGAATAAATAGAATTCTGTAACTTTCTAACACTTGGTAGAACCTCACTGAATGGGCGCTAAAATAACCTAAGAGTTTGTAAAGAAAGTTAGTCATGATGCTTATTGGGGTGGGGGGGGCAGTGATGAGCACATCTGGATGGTCTCTAAACACTGAAAGGGATTTGATTTTATTATCACTATCCAAAAGCACTAGGGAACTCTGATAGCCTATTGTTAAGAAGCTGTGCTGCAAACCCAAAGGTACACAGTTCAAATCCGCCAGCTCCTCCACAGGAGAAGGATGGACATTCTCGTCCTGTGTGATTAAGTCCCTCTGAAAAACCCCCCAGAGGGTCAGCTCTGGGTTTCCTCTGATAACAACAACAGCAACAACCATCCTAAAACATTAAGAAGCTCTGGTGGCCTGGTGGTAAGAATATGCACTGTAATCCCAAAGGCACACAGTTTGAATCCACCAGCAGTTTGAATCCACTGCTCCTGGGCAGAAGGAAGGGCAGTCTCCTCCCCCACGATTAACTGCCTCTGAAAACCCGCTAGAGGGTTATGGGTTGGTTCTGGCTCCGGGCACACAACAACCGCAACCCTAATGCAAGAGAATAGTGGTGTCGTGTATGGCATATTTAGCTGTTAACCAAAAGGTTGGCTCAAATCTGCCAGCAGTTCTGAGGTAGAACGGTGGCCATCTTTTCCTGTAAGGATTCACAGGCTCAGGAGCATGACGGAGGGTCTCTGTAAGTCAGAATGGATGGGACAGCAGAAAGGAGCAAAGCGAGGAGGCTGGCTGACGTGACAGGAAATGGGAAAAGGTCTCTGGAGCTATTTTGAGCGGATGATTTAATCATCAGTAAGAATGGCTGTGGTGGACTGAAACAGATTGAAATTTTTTTAAGTCCATGAATTCATTTTAATATTGAGATTCATACAACTTAATTGGTCATTTTGTGTGTTTGTGTATTATAGCTCATCAAAAGATCTACAGTATAAGTGCACCAGCTACTCTACATCATGGGAAAAGAAAAAAGGTGTTCATTTGCTCCGATAAAGAAAACAGCTCCACTCTATCCTTTAGAGAGAACTGATCTGATGGTAATGGGGTTAGAGAGAAGCAATTTTGAGTATTTGGAACTGATTATTAAAAGGAAAAGTTCAGACATTTATCTTGTATTTTTTTTACACTAATAATATCTCTAATTAAGCAGTTGTTGAGGGAAAATTTTCTTTTTGCAACTACTCCGATAATAAATGAAGAAATTACTAAATCAGCATAATTCTGTTTTGTGAGCACTGTTGAATTTCCTGTGACCTAGCTTGTTGCTGTGTATGAGTTGGAAGTGAATCACAGCTGACCTTTCAGAAGGTTTTCAGAGACTGTAGATTGTACCAGCAGATAATGTCCATCTTTCTCTAGCGGAGCAGCTGGTAAAGTCAGGTCGCGTGCCTTTGCATTGGCATGGTAACTGCTTACCCCTGAGCATCCAGAGCGCCCTAAGAAACGCCCTAAATACTCTGCTGACTGAGGAGCGGCCGCTGTGATGCTCCCTCACGTCCTCCCATTTCTGTCTGACGCGTTGTCTGACTGACACATAGGGGACCTCCATCCAGCTGGTTTTCAGGAGCAGTAAACCTCATGGGAGGAGATGGCCCTTCTTTCCCCTTGGGACAGCTGGAGGATTTGAACCATGTACCTTCTGGCTGACAGTGCATTTCCTTACCAGGCCAGCATGTTGCTAGAAGGGACTATTCCTTGGAAAAGGGACATCCTGCTTGGAAAGGTGGAGGGTCAGTGAAAGAGAGGAAGACCCTGAACCAGATAGCTTGATGCAGTGAGTGCAGCAGTGGGCTCACATGTGTAAGAGATGGGGAGGACAGCACAGGATAGGACAGGGTTCAGATCTGCTTGTAGGGTCGGTGTGAGTCACGTGCAACTCACCGACACCCAACAACAAGACCAGCGGAGCTCCAGAGCTGGCTTAGACTTTTCCATCTGTGTAGTAGGATGTTTGGCCGCACTCCTAGCCTCTGCCCACTGGAGACTGGTACTGACCTCTTCACTCCTGCCTCGTCGTTCTAACTAAAATTATTTCTAGACATTGCCTGCTGCCCTCGCTAAAAACATTTCCAGACATTGCCCGAGACCGGTTACCAACTGAGAAGCACTAATTAGTCATTGATCATCAATAACTTCTCACCTCATAGAAAGAGAGCCAGATTATACACATCCTTCTGAAGGTACAGGATGCCCTGGTGGTTAAGTGCTGCCAGTCAAGGAGTCAGCTGTTCGAGTCCGCCGGTACTTTAAGGGAGGAGGATGGAGGGGCTTCTGTAAAAGATTCACAGCCTCAGAAACCCAATGGAGGGTTGCTTTGACCTGAGGACAATGGCTCTGGTTTTGGTTTGTTGAATACCACCTATGAATTTTTTTTTTAAAATTTTTTATTTTTATTTTTTTTTTTACAGAGGTTTTGGATTTCCATTCATTCATTACCGCAATTTTCTCCCTTCCCACCCCTCCCCACCAGCTCGCTTCCCTCTCCGAAGAGAGAGAAAAAAAAAAAAGAAAAACAATTCCTTCATTAGTATACAATTCCCATGTCCCTTCCCCTCACCCCCCAACCCGAGTACACTTCTCTATGTCCTGGTTTACTTATAGTTTGTATGCATTATTGTTCACCCTGGATCTTTCCCGTCTCCTTTACCCACCCCTCCCTCTACCCTCAAACTGTGTGACCCTTTGATTAAGCACCCCTGTCCCCACCCATCCTTATTCCTTTGCCTCCCCCATCTTCCCCCTTGTGTCCTCATACTCATTCTACAGCAATGATCTTATACAGTATTTGTCCTTATGGGACTGAGTTAGTTCACTCAGCATAATGCTGTCCAGTGTCTCCCACGTTACATAGTAATTTACAAAGTTATTGCTCCTGCGTGCTGTGTAGTATTCCATTGTGTGAATGTTTCATACTTTCTCAGTCCATCCAATTATGGTTGGACATTTGGGCTGTTTCCCTGTTTTGCGATGGTGAATAACACTGCTATGAACATTGGCGTACAGGTCTCCATTTGTGTCTCAGTTCTCTTTTTCTTGGGGTGTATTCCAAACAGTGGAATACCTGGGTCATATGGAATATGGATTGCCAGAAAAATCTAACCAAACGGCATAAAGGTTAGATCTAACTCAGGAGCTCTAGAGATGTAGTCTCTAAGGGCTTGTGATGCTAGCCCAAAGGTTCACCTGGCTGCCAGTTCGAATCCACCAGCAATTCTTCAGGATTTACAGCCTGTGTGGTTCACGGCTTCAGAAAACTGGCTGCTGGAGGATCAGCGATGAGTCCATTCCGACTCAGTGACAATGAGTTTTCTGAGTGGATCTAACTTCCAATTAATGGGAAATACTGAGAGCGGAGGAGTATGTGAATACCACAGGGCCACAGTGAGCTGGAACGTTGGCAATTCCATAGAGAAGTTAACTGCTTTCTTTGACAGATAAGTTGTCTGGCAAGGAAATAGGGAAAAGCGAGAATCTGCAGATTGAAAAAAATCTGTAGAGATACAGAAATTTTTTTTCAGATACTATTTTGTACCTGATTTTCAAGAATGATGATACATGTTGATACAGTTAATAAAATTTAAAAACTGACTAAAGTAGGACAGAGTAGCATTGCCTGTGGGGTTTCCAAGACAGTCAAGGTTTGCGAAAGTAGACTGTCTACCTGTGAGAGCAGCCAGTGGGTTCAAAACACCACACGGATCCCGAGATTAGCAGTCAGCATCTTAACCGTTACACCACCACTACGCCGTTAGTTTTAACACTAATGCTAGCTCAGATTAACTTCTTGCTATCAAGGTGGAAACGACTCATATCTGACCCTCCATTGAGCTTCCGAGAGTTTGCCCATCTTTCTATTGAGAATAGCTGGTGGCTTTGAGCTACTAGAGAGGCTTGACTTCTGGATTTACAGTGCAGCTAGGCCACCAGAGCTTCCCTAATGTTAGATGTGTGCAGGGAAAAACAGTACTGTGTATTTTAAGAGTCCTCGGGAAGTGTTAATGTAGTTATGGATGAACTATTCTATCTGGGATTGCTTCAAATGAATTCCCTTCATGGGGGAGGGAGAAAGTAGATGGGAGGAGAGGCAGAAGGTGAGTTAGGAGATAGATGACGGAGTGTCAGTGAATTGTTAATGTTGCCGCTGGGTACATAGGTCTTCATCTCAACCTTTGGAGGTTTTGTGAAAATTTTTCATAATATGTTTTTTAAAGTTATCATATATCAGTTGGATTTCATAGTCTGTTTTTTCCAATTATGAAAAAGAGTACTTTTCACTCTCTGAAAGATTAGAAATAAAAATAGTGATTACATATGATCCTGCCATTCAGAAGTAGCTATTACTGATAAGTAATGTGTAGCCTTTCCTCTGTTTTCTGTCTGTGACTCCTAAGTATATATTGTTTTGTAAATTGTGGAAATATTCATGCAGTTACCTGTATACTCTCATCAGCTCTTCTTGGTAAAATGCTTGTCCATCAAATATTGCTCTAAAATTGAGCACCTGAATTAAGACAGACTGGGGAGAAAGATGGTCTTTGCAATCACTTGCTATGCATCAGAGAGCTGGACAATGACTAGGGATGACAGAGAAGAGTTGATGCTGTTGAGTTGTGATGCTGGAGAAGAGTACTGAATATACCGTCGACTGCTGGGAGAACAAACAAGTTCGTCCTGGAGAGGGTGAAGCCAGGCTCCTCCTTGGAGACAAGGATTCTGAAGCTTTCATACTGTGGACATGTGACACGACTGGACCAGTCCTTGGAGAGGGATGTCATGCTTGGGAGGGTGGAGGGACAGCGCAGGAGGGGAAGACCCTTGATGAGGTGGATTGATTTAGTCACTGGGGTAATGGGGTAATGAAGTAGGTGTGTCGGAGCCTTCAGATTGGGAAGTTGGCTCAAGATAAAGCGGGATTCAGAGCTCATAGTGCAAGCAACTCGAGGGCACATGAAAATAACAAGTATTTATTTTATGCTATTCTGTATTGTCATCCTTTTGTTTATTAATTATTTAAGTTCTTCGTATTAGACTACCTATATAAAGGGTGGAGGGTGGAGGGACAGTGCAGGAGGGGAAGGCCCTCTAGGAAGTGGATTGATGCAGTGACTGGGATAATCAGGATGGAAGTGTCAGAGGCAGTGCAATTGTCACAGGACAGAGCAGAGTTTAGGGCTGTTGTACATAGGGTTGCTATGAGTCGCAAGCGACTTCACGGCACATAACAACAACAACAACAACAACAACAACATATAAAGAGGTGTTTATATTTTTAAAGCATTTGCCATCTTCCTGATGTGACACCCCTAAAAAAGTATAGTGTTCGTTTTGTCACATTTTTTTTCTAACATTAGATAAGGTCAATTTGTAGTCTTTTTTCAATCTCTTGTTAAATCCTGAACTGAGCACTTCCTGGGACTAAGACAAGAGTAGAGACAAGAGAAGAGAGATCTCTTTAAAAATATGTATTCTTTCCTCTTTTTCAGGAACTTGAGAGTATAAATGCGGATGTCCAAGCAATGACCAACTGCTGTCAAGATATGACCAATCGCCTCCAGGTGTGTAGAACAGTTGAATTTTTAGGTAGTGCTTGGCCATTTCAGAGAAAATGGAATTAGGTCCATACAATGTATGGATGTCTATTTGTCTTACCCTTTAGCGAGTATGGATATAAATTCTGTGCATTTTGCTCATTTACTATTAACTACAAATACTTGTTTTTCTTTGAATGATAGTCTACTAAGAGGAAATTCCTGATTTACAAAGTATTCAAGTTAACAAGTGCACTTAAGATAGCTTTTAATTTGTATATTTTATTATTAGTGATGTGTTTTATGTGTATATAGTGCTGGAGTGTGTAATTTGATCGTCTTATCATTCTGAGATGGGATTTATTAAAAAGTACTCATAAAGCAATAATAATAATTGCCCATCCTTCTCCTGCAGAGCAGCTAATGGATTCGAAGCGTGTGTCTTCGGGATTGCAGTGCAGCTTTTTACCACTAGAGATAATAATTAATAATAATAATAATAAATAGTAATAATAGTAGTAGTACTACTAAAAAGGAAAAAAAAAAGACTTGACATGAGAACTAACTTACAAAGAAGTCCTTACAGCAAAACTCCATTATAAGTTGGGGGCTACCTGCATTGTTCAGCAAATTTCAGAAGCCTTTGCATTTTGGTCTAATAAGTACAGTGCTATAGAGAAGTTAGATAAAACTTCAATCCTGTGTCAGAAGTCCAGCAAGAATGAATCCAAGTTAGAACTATGCCTGAGGCGTCCAGCTTAATTCTGAGTTGTGCTCAGCCTAAAAAAATCCCAGAAAAATATGTGTAGTGGGGTAATCTCCCCTGTGCGATTTACCACCTCTGAAAACCCACTGGAGGGTCAGCTGAAAACCCACTGGAGTTGGTGCTGACTTGACCACATGTAACAACATAGAACAAGTGGGAGTGAGAGTGGTCGTACCTTTTAGTTTCTAATTCTTACCTGTAATTATACACATAAAATATTTTTTAAAAAATTTTATTATTTTTTTGTGCATTGTACCATCAAATCAGATCTGACTGGTACAGGAGGAGATTGTCCCTCCTTCTCCAGCAGAGCATCTGGTGGATTCAAACCAGGCACATCTGGGATTGCAGTGCAGCTTCTTGCCACTAGGCCACCAGAGCTCCCTACATAAAATATTTTTATTCTTTATTTTCAAAACAGCTTGTAAATACTTTAAATCCCAGCCAAACAATTTGGTGTTTAGTGTTTTCTTTGTGTCCCCTGAGCCCAGTTTTTACCCTGAACTGACTGGTCTTTTTTTATCTTTTCTTATATTAACTTTACTGAGGTATGATTTACATATAGTAATAAACTACATTTACTTAGAATATAGAAATTGATGAGTTTTGACAGTTTTATATTCTTATGAAACAACCAGCATACTGAAGATAGAGATCATTTTTATCACTGTATTCCCTTAAGAGTTTTTAGCTGGATTATTTAAAATTTCTTCATAATACTCATTGCTTACATACTTTTTTAGGTGCACATGTCATTTCTTTTTTTTGATGCAAGAACATGACGGATTTTATTATTACCAGCTTAAGTAGGGACTCTCTGCATGCGCCGACACAGTGGCCGCGTGGCAGAGCCCCCAGCGCTTTGAGACTAGGGTTTTTATTGGTGCTGGGAGTGGCAAAGACTGAGTGAGGGGCAGGGAGATGCAAGTGGACCGGGGAACTTGTGAGGTCAGATGGATGCGGCATGTAGCGATTGGCTAATTTGAAAATAAGCTGGTTCATTAGCAAGGGCATGAATATTTGGCATACTCTGATTGGAGTAAGGTTCGTACAGGAGGAGTTAGAGGCACTACTTTGTTGCTGAGGTCCTTTCAGGAAGTGAACTCGAGAAAAACAAGGACTAAGGACTTAAGATGGCTGTCAAACCATATATATATAAACAAATCTTGACTCTTACATTTCCCTCCTTTTTCTTGGTAATTGGAGAACCTAATCATAGGTCCTCAGTAGGACAAACGTGTGGGTTGATCCTTGGAGGAGTATTTTCGACTGGCGAGGATGAGTCCAATGGAAGTGGCTGGTTGAACTTTGCTTCCTTAGCTGGCAGTGTGTCCCTGGGATAAGGCTCAGGGGTTGGAGGAAACCTCAGAGTTAAGGTTACCTATAGGAAAGGGAGCAAACCTAGAAAGAACAAACTTGTGAATTACAAAGAAAAACATTTTTAGAGATGTTCCTAGAGGAGATGGAGAAAAGTAGCTTAGACAAAGTTTCTCATACACAATTTTGTGGGCTTAATTTAAGCCTACTTCTCGTGCTACTTTAATTCAGAGCAAGGCCAAAGCAACCCCTGACTCTACTTAGGCTTTCAGTAACTTAAACTTGATCACATGTCATTTCTTATGTTCATATAGGTTAGTTCCATGATTTCAAAGTTTTTTTCATTACTTGCGTTGTCAACTAAAATGAGCTTGTTTTGAAAAGACTGAGCCTATCTGGTGATTGAACCAACCAGTGGGTCCTTAGGAGAAAGATGGGCAATTTCCTCTTCTGTGATTTACAGCCTTGGACATGGATTGGAGGGTCAGCTATCAGTTGATTCCATCTCAATGATAATGAGTGGGAATAATGTCAATACTGTTAGCTCTAAAGGAGAGCTTTTGATTTATCTTCTGACAATCAAAGTATTTCTTGGAGTTCTCCTCAGTCTCCTGTTTTATTATAGGATTGAGTTAGCCAATTGTAAGTTTCTAAAGTACTTTTAATAGGGTACATTATAGGAATTATTATTACAGAATATATTTAGAAGGTTTTTTAAATTTTTTAAAATTTGTTGTGTGTGTGTACCGTCAAATCAGATCTGTCTGGTACAGGAGGAGATTGCCCCTCCTTCTCCAGCAGAGCATCTGGTGGATTTGAACTATGTGCCTCTGGGATTTCAGTGCAGCTTTTTGCCACTAGGCCACCAGAGCTCCCTTATATTTACAAGTTTAAACTTTTGTATTTGCTTCTGTTTCTCCCTTTGACTTCAATTTTGCTTGGATAAATTACATTTTGTTGTTGTGTGGTACCATGACCTTAACTCCTCCTCATGGTAATCCTGTGCCAGCCATAGACAGAAACGCTGTACATTGTATACAGATCATAAAAATACCATGGAAGATTTGCAGCATATAAATTCTTTTAAAAGTAGAGAAGGCATTGCAAATGACTGGCAGGTGTCAAGATGATTCTAAGCCCTCTAACAAGTATTTAAAGGATTAGCCAAGCAGATACTAAGTAGTCTGTATTTATCTTTCAACGATTCCATAAGCTTTTATAAACCCATTTGGGATTTGTTAGTCGCTTAAATGTGCCAAGATGCCATATGTTTAATAAAAAGAAGAGCATTGGAGTCAGCATGAAAGAATCATAAACTTTAGAGGATACTCTTCCTAATTCTCATCATTCCTAGCTCTCCAAGAAGAGAGGACTCACTTTGACCCATTTCTCCCTGCCACTGTTGTTCTGTGCCCTTGAGTCAGAAATGATTCATAGCTGATCTTCTAGTGAGTGTTCAGTGGCGGGGAGGGAGGTTGCCCATCTTTCTCCTGTGGATGCAAACTGCTTGCTGTAGAATTGGCCTCACAGCTTAAGACACCAGGGCGCCCTCAACCTGCCATCAGGGAGAGAAAAGATGCCATTGGAGAGAAAAGCTCAGCGTTCTCAGACCTTCCTCCTGGTTTGGAATTTTCCTTTTCTGTGGCAGTTCTTTCAAATGACTTTGGAAATGGATTGTTTTCTATATTAATATTACACCCTCCTTAAGTAATAACTAAAAAAAAAAACACTGGCTTCTACTCTGTGAAAATATAGTTCAGTATAAAAATATATACCAAGCAATACTCATGTGTTTCCATATTAAGGGCTTTATATATGTATCACAGAGCCCATACAGCCTTTGCATGAGTTTTCAGCCCACCGTGAACAGTTAATTATCTGCTGCATGTAAGCTTATCTACATAATAAAGCATAAAATACATCATCATAAATTTCTGTATAAGATAATTCCTTCTAAAATAAAGCAATAATAAGCTATTTTCACAGCACTGTTTCTAATTCAGTGAACATAGAACAATCATATGCTTGGGCAGTCCTGAGTTCATTGTAACACAGATGGTCCTCATTCCTGGCCAAAGTTACCAGTCGATCCTTTCTTGAGTAGATGTCTTCTACTACTATGAAACAAGAAATTCTTTTTAGGTGCTACTCTGTCCATTCATAAACTTAATATTATACCATAATTGAATAGTACTTTGTTGCAAAGAGTTTTTCATCAGGAGCAGGACATGAGGAAGCAAGTTCTATACCCAAATATGAGCCGTATCGAAAGTTACTCCTTAAGCATTCAGTCATGCAAGAAGCCGTTTTCTTCCAGTGCTGCATCGTGTTGAACACCCACATTGACTGATCTTACAGATTGCAGGCTCTGGCAGTGTTGAAAGGCACCAGACTCCCTGCCTTTCACATCAGAGCTTTCCTTCTTCTCTTCCAATCTGGAAGTTACTCTTTAACGACTCTATAACCACACTGGATATGTTCTGCAATTAGGGAGCCGACTACTTATTGTCACTAGACAAAAAAGGCAGGCTTTTTTTGTGTGTGTGTGTGTGTGTGTCACTAGGAAAAAAAAGAGAAATTCTTTCTGGCACAGCACGTTAGAGGAGCCTGTTGAAAGCTTAACTCATTATCAACCATCCCTCTCATCTCTCAGCCCTTTTCGGGACACTTTGGATCTTTGGGGCAATCCATTGTCCTGCTGTCAGGGTGTTCAGCCAGAATTTATTTTTTTGTATTTTTTAGCACATATAGTTTAAAGCACTTATAAACTTGTTGTGGATGAAGAGATACTGTAGTTTCTCTTCTGGATCTGAAACTTTGTAACGCATTCCACAAGCATCCATCATTGGAAAGGGATACACACACACACTCTTACATGTATATATACACGCACACACGTATATGTATATATACATATACATGTGGATAGAAAGTTATGCTACCA